GTTATGGTTTGTGTCTAGATGTCCCCCAAAGCCTCGTGCAGTCATTGGGGTCGGACTTTTTTGGTGGTAGCTGAATCTAGAGTTTGTGACTGATTCATAGTGTGATGCTGGGATTAAGGCTGGGTGATTGCTGGATCAGCCCACTGATTGGATTGGCACTGCCCTGATCCCAGCAGTTTGGATAAAATAAAAGAGGCAGAAAGGGGCTTTTCTGCCCTTTTGCTCTTTTGCTTTCATTCCCCATCTCCCACTACCTAACTGTAGAGGGTCACTTCCCCAGACAGGAGAGCCTTTACACCACCAGAGATAACCCACGTCCTTGCATCCCTCGCTATGAGACAGCATTTTTATTTGAAAAACTTGAATTCTTAAGTTGGAACTTTAATGAATGTTCAAGAAACTAGCTTTGTTCCAAGAAAATGTAATGATGCCTAATTTTTCTGAATGATGCTAGTTATCGTAGCAGTTGACCAAAAAGAAAAAGAAAACAGAGAGAAAGAAAATTGCATTTTGGCCTTCCTATGTAGATTCTAAAGAACAGCAAATAATTAGGTGAATAAATACAATCTTAAGATTTAAAAAAAGCTCAGTATTTTATGGGAATAGTGAGACAAATGAATATTCTGTTTGGCTATCATCTATGCTTGGATACATTTGTCTCTTTTTTGCAAAGCAAGCCCTTTCTCTTTCACTTACTGTAACTTGCAGTTATTTTATTCACTTGTATCTTTGTCCTTTTCCTTTACAATTCTCAGTAATAGAGTCTGAATAGATTTTTTGCAGCGGTTGTATCCCTAGCATCTAGTGTATTATATCTACTCAGTTAAATAATTGACTGCATCTTAAGTAAACATTACCTGGGGCTGGAATTGCACCCAAAAAATACTCTACATGGCCTCCTTATTAGTGAAACATTAAAAGGATTTTTCATGGTGTAGAAACAAGGGGCTGGGGATTTAGTTCAGCAGCACAGCACCTGCCTGGCAAGTGCAAGGTTGTGAGTTCAATTCCCAGTACCGGAAGAAAAACAACAAAAACAGAGAAAACATGTTGTAGAAACATAGGCAAAGAAATTAGACAGGAAAATGAAATCTAAATGTTGGAAAGGAAGCAGTGACAATAATTATTATACCTTTGGGGAAAGTATAAATTAGCAGCTTAATGGAAGAATATTCTTTCAGGTTAAAAACCCTTTTCTGTTAGCTTGGCCAAAGTGAATTTGCTATATAGAGGTTTTTATTTTAGGGTAACCTATCTTGAGTATAATTTTAAACATAAAATATTGTAAGATTGCAAAAATAGTACATACATCTTTTAACTAGATGTACCTGTTTACATTTTTCCATTTAATTTATTTGTATTAATAACTATTATATATATTACATATGCACAAATGCTACATACATAATTTTTTTTAAACAGAATAAAGTCATCGTATCCCCTAGTACCCAGAAACTTTAGTGTCTTTTTTTTTTTTTTTTTTTTTTTTTGAGACAGGGTTTCACTATGCAATTTAAGTTGTCCTTGAACTCACTTTGTAGCCCATGCTGGCCTCAAACTTGCAGCAGTCCTCCTGCCTCGGCCTCCAAGTGCTGGAATTACAGGCGGGCACCACCACACCCAGCCTTAGTGTCTATTTTCTAAGAACAGTTTCTTTTCTCTAGCCAGTTATCAAAATCAGGAAATTCAACATGAGCTATGACTATTATCTAGTCTACTGTCCATCTTCAAAATCTGTGTGTTGCCCCAGTAATGTGCTTTAACAGTTACCTTTTGTTCTGGGTCAGCATAACCTGAGATCACACAGTGCATTTAGTGTCCATATCTCTTTGGTTATCTTTACTGTGGACGTGTTCTTCAGCATATCTGCATATTTTGTTGACAGATTTGATCACTTGGGTGAGACACTGCCTGCTGGATTCCTCCCATAATGTTATTTTTCTCTTTGTAATTAACAAGTAATCTGCTGTGAAACTTTTTTTTTTTTTTTTTTTTGGTTTTTCTCCAGTACCAGGAACCGAACTCACGACCTTGCGCTTGCCAGGCAGGCACTTTGCTGCTGAGCTAAATCCCCAGCCCCCTCTGCTGTGAAACTTTAAGAAGTTTAAATCTTATTTTCCCTCCTTAGTTGTTTTCGTATCCATTGATGATTTTCTAATTCCACCATTGTCCTTCTGTATTTATTAGTTGTATTCCACTGTAAGGAAAAGATTTTCTTTTTCCCTAATACACTTGCTTGCTTACATTCAAGTATACTTATTCTTTTATTCTTTGCTCAGTGTGTTACAATCCCTTATTATATAATAGGGTTTTCAACCTAATTTTGGCTTTCTGCACTGTATGTTCTGGGTCACATAGTTTCTCTGCCTTCAGTCTCTCTTTCTTAGTTTCTCAGGCCATCTTAGATACCTTTGTTAACAATCTATCTCACAGTGTTCCCCCTACCCCAGACTTTCTTAGACTAATATTTTCATTATTACTTTGCATATGGGCTTGATTTGGTCCTGTACTGACCATTTGTTTATGTAATATTGTAGGTAACAGTCTCATGTTTATATGTGCTGTTATTAACTCACATATTGTGGATTAACTAAGGGGATCTTGCTTCATGCTTCTAAAACAGGTCATGTGATTTAGAGATTTGGAGTTCCTCTATTCACCAGCGGTAGAATTTGTAAACAGAGTTGTCTGCCTCAGGAATCCAGATTTTTACATTTGATAGTCTTCAGGTTTAACAAAAGACATCTTGTCTGAGTAAAAGATGAGAGGTAAAAAGAGTGACAGCCAGTCTCTGCCCCCCCAGATTTTGTTTGTTGTTTAATTTTTTTTGTTTTTTGAGGCAGGGTTTCACCATGTAGTTTAGGCTGGCCTTGAAATCTCAGTGATCCTCCTGCCTCAGCCCCTCAAGCGCTGGGATTACAGGCATGCACCACCACGCCCCTCAGGCCTTTGTATTTTTTTAGTCCCTTCCCCAAATTTAACTAGGAGTCACCTTGTAATTGCAGGAAAGAACCATCCATCAGAAATAGGATCCCAGCCAGTCATGCTGTGTCTAAGAGTTCAGCTATTCAAGAGATGTCTGCTAAGGCTCTGAGTCTTGCTCCGGGAACAGACAACAAACAAATACGAAGAGTAATGTATCAGCTGCTAAGTAAGATGGAAAACAATAAAACGTGATTTGGGAGATAGATGTTAGGGAAGTGCTTTTTTAAATTTATTGATTTGAGACAGGTTCTTGCTATGTAGCCAGGCTGGCCTCAAATTGGAAATCTTCCTGCCTCAACCTCCCAAATTTTGCATTACCACTCCTGGCTGAGATGCTTCTTTTTAAATGAAAGTGGTTAAGAAAAGAAATGAAGTGGTCATTATCAGGCAGTATCTGAAGAGAGAGCTGCAGCAAGCCACAAGGAGGAGAGGGTTGGAGGCAGAGAGAGCTTTACAGGTAAAGCAACAGCCAGCCAACCCAAGACTCCAGGTTGGGGCAGTGCCTAGGGAATGCCAGGCTTGGGGCATTGCTATGCTTAGAGATTAGAGGAAGAATTAACAAAGCGGAAAGCCCCTAATGACCTAGGAAAATAAAGGGGGAAGTACATGGATATCAGTGGAAGCTGTTCCTAGGAGGAGGCAGTAACTAAGTCAGACTTTGCTGGTGAGTTAGATGAGGGTAGAAACTCAGATTTGGGAAGCATTTTGGTGGAGTGGTGGGGACTCCGAATAGGTTTGAGAGAGAATATATTGAATCCACATAACTCTTAGAGGGTTTTGTTCCAAATGGGACTAGAAAAAGTGGGACAGATCTAAAGAATAGTCAGTGTGGGAACGAAAGGAGAGGTTTTTACAGTGGGGAGGGATTAGTGGACATTAGGAGGCTGGTGGGAGTTCCCAGCAGATAGGGAACAGTTGTCGAAGCAGAGGCTGGGCAGAATAGCAGGGGCAACCCTTGAGCACAGGTGCGGGGTGGTGCATGTGGAGACGGCCTGCGCTGGGAACCCCGATGGTAACCCTGGGTCAGGAGGAAAGGCAGAGTATGCCAGAGTGAAGTGCAGTTGGCCAGATAGGGAAGCCAGGCAAACAGAGTGGGCCACCAGGAAATCAGTGTGCTTTTGCTGCTCCTTGGTTTTTTTCCTTGGCTTGTGGCATTTATAGATCTCCATTTCTTTGACTTTTACCTTTTTTTTTAAGGATAAACCTTTTCTGGGGGTGCAATCCTTGAGTTAGTCCAGTTAGTGACACGTTTGTGGAATTCAGAAACAGATCCTTTGAAAGAGCTTTGATTTAACGTCATAGTTGAAAGTGTCAGGATAAGTGACACATGCTAAATTGTAACTATTTTTAATGTCTAGGGGAATCCTCTAGTCTTTTAAGTGCCTTTAGGTAAATTAAATATAGAAGTACTCCCTCAGGTAAATAAGCATATTTGAAAATATCTGTGCCAAAACAATACATGTACACTTCCCTGATTGTAAAAGGAATGTTTATGTATTGTAAAATACTCAACCAGTTACAAACATCTCCATAGTGAAGTGTCACCTCTTCCCCAGCCTTTCCCTAACCCATGGTGCCTTCCAGAGAGAACCACAGTTGCTAGTTTATTAAACACTTCCCAGGTTTCTGTGTGTCTTTATATTTGATCAGTGTTCCCTTCCAGCTTAGCTGCATGATCTGGTTTCCACAGAGAACTAAATCAAAACTGCCAGATGGCATCATTGATTTCCAAATATTTTAAATCCAAAAGCTTCCTAAGTGCATGTAATTTAAATTATGCAGATTAGAACAAAATGAATACTGTCTCAGAATGAATACTTAAGGAAGATGGGGCTTGAGACTGACCTTTATTTCCAAATTAAATGTTTCTTTGCTACTGAAGTGATGAAATGCATAGTTCTTAGGTTTTGACTTCTGGGTTTTCATGATTTCTAAACAGTAACTACAGTGCCATTTTATAGACTATTTGATGAGATACGGATTTCTGCTAAATGTATTCTTGGATGCTTTTATAGGAGAAAGAAGTACGAAGAGAAAGGGGTGAATCAGTGGCTCGCAATTCCCAGCAGGAGGAGAATGAAGAAACAACATCAGCGCAGAAGAAATCACTACAGCCGCAGAATAATGAAAATGAAAACACAACAGCAGATAAACCTGACCGAGAGGTAGCAGAGACCACTGAATCTAGAAGTGAAGTAAGTACTGTACATCAGAACCCAGCCGTGTCATTTGGCTTTCATATAGATGTTGTGGCATTGACAGAGTATATTGAGAATTTTCTATGTAAATGTGCCCTGTTAATAGCAAATCTGACCAAGAAGAAAAAATTATATGAAACTATGAGCGTCGTAATTGGACTTACAAAAGAATCAGCAATTGTTTTCTCCGGTTGAACTCTCAAGATTTTGTGTATAGACACACATACCCCTCCTGGAACTTGCCAGCAGGTTTTGCTAGTTGTGCTTGCCAAGATAAGAGATAAAGAGATGACTGGCATTCTGAACCCAGGGATCCTTAGGCAGCTACCTGAGAAACAAACAGTTGGTCAGGTCCAGGAGAGCAAGCTTGGGCTCAGATCATTCAGTCTGCCATGGCCATGGGCCAAGCCAAACCACTAGCTTCCAGGAGTCCAATTTGTGTCTCTGGCCTCTGCTAAGGGGCCAGCCCAGTGGATCACATCCTTGGCTCCTCATTGTCTAAGCATCGTTTTTAGCCCAGAGAAGAGGAATAGAAAGATGAACTCCAGGAGCCGGGCTGAATGGGTGGGTTCTTCCTAAGCCTGTTTATTCTGTTCTTTCACGTGGACCATACTCCGGTTCCTAGTCAGCCCTGCTGAGGTTTTGCTCACAAGCTTGGCACACAGGTGCTCTAGAACGGGACGAGCGGCTCCATAGACTTATAACCACATGATACTTCCACCTGCACGGAGCAGCCTTGCAGGCCCTGCCCTGATGGTTCTCTTTGTCATGACCTATTTCAGGAGGTAGATTTTGGGCTAAGCCTTGGACACCCATGGAGGACAGAGAACACCATGCCTAGGCCCTTCTCAGACTGCCCATCACCACTGTAGTCTACTGTGTAACATGACATCAAACATGACTTGAGTTTATGGAGTAAAATCAGAAACAGCTTTGTTCTCACTATTCTTCTGCGCCTTCCAGCATGTTCTAACCTGTTCTAGGGGAACTAGTTCTTTCCTGGGCCATGGGTGACATCTAGGGCAGGCCTCATGACCTACTCAGATTAGAAATCCCTCAGTCATCCTAGTGCAATTGACAAGGATACTCCAGTGTAATTCTTTTTTTGTGGTAGTGGGGATTGAACTCAGGGCCTTGTAGGCACATACTCTACTACTGAGCTCCATCCCCAGCCCTTCCAGTGTGATTCTAAAAAACTTAAAGATGACTAAAATTCAGCTGCTTCCCATCTCATCTGCTGCACTCAGAAGGCTGAGTAGTGTGTGGAGCTACCGGTTTCCCCGGTTTGTCTTTCCCTGCTGGTTAGGCTGTCTTCTCTGAGCCTTCTCTGAGCCTGGAAGTATCAGTTATAAGAACTCAGGACAAGTGTTGTTTGATAGGAATCAATTCCAGAAGTTTTCCCTTCTCTTGACTGTAGGACACATTTAAAATTTTGTCAGGTATGCAATTTCAGTTTAGAGGGCCACTTTCATTCTGCAGGTTCTTTGGGGACCTCTGCCTGGTAGCTGGAGGTTTTCCACCTGGCCTGCTGTTGACAAGGACAAATGCATCCCTAGCCCCAGCTGATCCTTTAGGATTCCTGAGTATTTAGGCACACGCTTACCTCTCCAGGTCGCCCTCTCAGCCACTTGGCAGCTGTCTAGCACATGGCCCTGGACACATGCTCTTCACATTCATCAGTTTAGTCCCTTTGCTAACTACAGCCTTTGCTTGACCTTTTGCCTCCTGCCTTTCATGTTTCTCAGGGACGCTACTTCGTCGTCAAACTACAGGAGCATACACCAAGTATGCTCTTCTTGAGACCCCTTTTGCCATTCTCCGGGTGAGAGAGGGAGGGAACACCCCATGTTTTCATTTCCTAATATCCCCAGCTTCAATCTTTTCATAACCCTCCATCTCAGCCTAGCATTTCACTTAAAACTGCAGAAGTATTTGGCACCTGTCTGTCCTCTTCCCCAGTTGGTAGTGTCCTTGCCCTTGCAAATTATGCAGTTTCCTCACCCTCACATACCAAATCAGTGCCTACTGTCTATCATATAAATACTGAAAGATGCTCCCTAAGTGCCTCACAGTTACTTTTTATGAGGGAAAGGATGTCCCCGTGTCCTCCCCGCCCCCAGTACCGGGAATCGAACTTACGACCTTGTGCTTGCCAGGCAGGCGCTGTGCTGCTGAGCTAAATCCCCAGCCCCGGAAAGGATGTTTTTACCAGTCTGTCACTTCTTTAACTCTGAACTGTATAGTACCATATGCTATTGGTTAGTTTTCTCCTTGGTGTGTCTTTACGTTTACTCCCTCTTTTGGCTTCCCAGAAGTGTTTTCTTTACTTCTTTGAATTACCCCATAGTAACTCATTCACTACTACGCACTTAGTGGACAATACCCATTAAGTATTAATGAGATGACAGATGAAAATTGTAGCTTGCTGGAGAGGTTAAAATATAGTTTGATATAAGAGACATCAAATTGAACCAAAGTTTCCAGAAACACATTACTTAAAGCAAGACATTAATGCCTTAGTTCTGAGTAGGCTCAGCTTCTTATTGCTACCTCCTTGTTCCTGTATTGTATCCGGTGTTTAGTTAGCATTTACATACTATCTTTGTATGCTGCAAACTGCATATTACATATAGTAGCTTTGATGATATTTTTGCTGGCCCTTTTGTTAAGATATGACTTAGTAGATGCTTTCAGCTTGTTAAAGAAAACAAATGAAATGTTAGCTCATTCAATCACTGGCATTGTTATTCTATTTTTCTAGCCCCTGTACAGCCCTATACTTAGATTGTAGCCAGTTAATGTATATAATGTAAGGCCAAGTAGTCAGAAGAAATTCCCTTTCCACTACAGAGAAATAGAGCCTCATGGTTTCATGTGTTAAGCTCTCTAATAAAACTAAATGTGTATCTACCAGGTCCTTTGAATATACTTAGTGGCCTCTGTTTAAAAATGTAATCGAGGGCTGGGGATATAGCTCAGTGGCACAAGCACCTGCTTGGCAAGCGTAAGGTCCCGAGTTCAATTCCCGCTACTGAAAATAAGAAAGAAAAAAGGATAAAATGTAAGACTCTTGACCTAAAGTTGAACTGTATGGTCCTATTTTAATTAGTAAGGATTACAAAAGGCTCACTTACTTTCTCAGCAGTCTAAATTAAACTAACAGTGTAGTGTAACTCAGCTTATTTTTTGTCTTGGCGGTACTGGGCTGCACCCCAATCCTACCCCTTTTGAGATGAGGTCTCTTTAAGTTACAAAGTCTCAAGCTTGGGATCTTCTTGCCTCAGCCTCTCACAGTGCTCTCAGTACAGGTGTGTACCAGTCTGCCACGCTGATTTTTTTTTGGTCTTTTTTGAGACAGGGTCTCGCTATGCAGCTCAGGCTGGTCTTGAGCTCATTTTGTAGCCCAGGCTGATCTTGAACTCACAACTACAGGTGTGCACCACCATACCCAGCTGATTAATTTTTTAAAATAGTTCAGTTGTCCATGTTTATGTAAGATCGCTTCTGCTGAAGGAAAAAATGAAATAACAACCCCCCCCGCAAGCAGTTAAATTTTAAAATGGCCAAGTTCTATAAAACCAGGTATCTCAGAATTGTTCTCTGTGTATAGTAGTAGACAGGAAAACTTGTCACCTACTCTCTGCAAACAGAATGCTTTCCAATTAAAATCAACAAATACATAGAGGGGGCACCCTGATGAAATTCTGAAGAGATTTGAAGGGACCGAGGTTAGGGTAGGTTTCTGAAGCTATTACCAACCACCATTTGTACAGAAGAAAAGCTGAAGAAAAACAGCTCAGCAAGAGCTAGAGTTGATCCTTCAACAGAGATGTGGTCTTTTTAGGGAATCACTCTCTTCATCTCTTACCTTTATCTCCTGTGGGGAACCACCACCCAACCTGAGCTGTAGAGCCTGGTGGGGAGGGCTTAACCCCTTAGCTTTCCATTTCTTGCTCACTGAAGGAAACAAGCAAAAAAATTATACACATCTTAGACTAGCCTAAATGACAAATCTAAATTCACTTCAAGCAAAATGGCCCTCATATCCATAGTTCCATGTTTTATTTTTTTATTTTTTTGGTTTTTCTCTGGCACCGGGAACCGAACTCACGACCTTGCGCTTGCCAGCCAGGCGCTTTGCCACTGAGCTAAATCCCCAGCCCCCATGTTTTAATTTAGGTTTCTTTTTCAGCAGATAAGGCCATTCACGCACTTACTAGATTGTTTTTGCAGAAATCCAGTAAACTTTTGATGATCTTTTCCATTCTTATTTGTGACCATCAGCAAATTTTGGTCAGTAGTCGGCCAAGGACTAAGGCCAAGTTTAGGACCATTAACAGAATAGAACGCTTCTAAAAATTAAGAAGCAAGGACTCATTTTAAACAGTAATCCAATTGGCCAATAGCCTATTATGTACTCAAGTGTTTAATTTTCCAGTTAAATAAGAGCAAAAGAAGAAATCTTACCCACCCATTTAGCTTGAACTTAATAGTCCTGTAGCATGCATAGACATACAGAAAGTCTAATATAATATAAAAAACATGGCTTTCATGTAATATGAAAAACAACCCAGGGTATTTGGCAGAAAAGATACAATACACACACACACACACACACACACACACAGGTCTGACTCATAATAAGGGAGACCCTAAAATAGGGGAAGGAGTGATGTACACAGCAAGAATACCTCATTCAGGATTATAAATTGACAAATGAAGATATGCACATACCAAAAATGTAGATATCCTACTTAAATGAATTAGCAGAACTGAGAAGAAATTCAAGAAATAAAGGAATTCAAATCTAGAATTTAAGGTGATTGGGTACTAAAGTTGAACAATTTCAAAGAGGAATTAGAACCAGGTATCATGGCAGAGACTGAGTTTAGTGGATAGGATACGAATCTCAAGCCTATGGCTGGGGGAATGTGGGCTTCCTACCTAAAACTCAGAATATTTTAAGGCTTTTATGTCTAGGAAATATAGACTGGGACAACTCTCCACCTGTGAGAAATCATAAACTCACGGAAGCTTCAAAACTAAATATAGGGTCTGAATCTATACGACGGTCACTGTGAGAAATCTTGAAGCCAGGAATTTAAAATTTAGAAAGTGATATAAACATTGGTACTTGGGCAGAAAACTGTCAAGTGCTCTCAACAAACATGAGCTATAAAAAATTAGGACATTCAGATTAGCTATGAGTCAACATATGCAAAAAAACAAAATTCACAAATTATCTGAAAAGTATCCCAAAATTAAAGTTTGAATTATTTAGGAAGAAAAATATAAGGCAAAAACATTCTGTCATAAAAGTAGATATAGAGCCATCTGTGGTGGCACATGTCTGTAATCCCAGAGGAGGCTGAGGCAGGATGATTCCCAAGAGTTTGAGGCCAGCTTAGGCTACACAGTTAATTCCAGGCCAGCTTAAGCTACATAGTAAGACCCTGTCTCAACAACAACAAAAAGAGATTCACAATACCTAGACATGGTGATGCACATTTATAAACCTTCCCATACTCTAGGAGGCTGAAGCAGGAGGATCACAAGCTCAAACCCAGCTTTAGCAATTTAGCAACGTAGGCCCTAGATTCATTCATCTAATATTACAAATAAATACCATGATAAAATCCTGGTAAGAAAAAAATGTAAAGCGCCTGCCTGGCAAGCGCAAGGTCGTGAGTTCGGTTCCTGGTACTGGAGAAAAAAAAAAAAAAAAATGTAATCACTCTAATTAAAAATTCAGTAGAAGGGATGATCACCAATTAGACATGACTAAAGAAAAGGGAAGCTGGCATGGTGGTGAACGTTTGTAATCTCAGCACTTGAGAGGCTGAGGCGGAGGATTACCAGGAGTTTGAGACTAGCCTGGGCTACACAGTGAGTTCAAGGTCAACATGAACTATAGAGCAAAAACCAGTCTCAAAAAAAAAAAAAAAGACAAGGGGGCAGAAGGCAAAAAAAAGGAAAGTAAGTAGCTCAGTATATTGGGAAACAAGGAAATGACCCAGAAGACACCACAAAGGAGGATGCAAAATATGAAAGAAAAATCTTATGTTATTCCTAATAGGACTCCTAGAGCAGAAACCAGAAAATAATGGGAAGGAATATTTAAAGTAAGTATGGTTAAATATTTCCAAAATTAAAATGGTCCTCAATTTAAAAGAGTATATTAAGAATTCCAAACACAGTAAATACAAACAAATCAAATCTCAGACATACAGTGACAGATCAGAAACTAAGAAAAAAATCTAAAATTACTCAAGGAAAAATAATCACTGATAGCAAACTTATTACTGATTGATTTAAAATTCCCTAAGACAAAATACTGAGAAAAAGTCTTAAACTTTGTATTTTTACCAGATAATCTACCATTTAACCATGAAGTGATTCTAGGATATAAAAACTAGGAAAGTTTATATTCAGACCCTGTCCGAAGAAGTTAGTCCAACTAAACCCTGAAGACAGGAATTGGATGAACCAACCAATGATGAGCAAGTTAATAAAGACATTTGGATAAGTATAATTGTGTAGCCAACTGCGAGGTGTGATTACCAATGGGCAAAGTAAAGTGGAAAAATAGTAACCAGACATTATATAGACACTGACTAAAGCAAAAAACAGTGTTTGGAGTTAAAGGTCATGATTTAAGATACTGTGTTCTGACTCTGTGCATGAAACCAAGGACTGTATGAAGATGGAATGTAAAACTGAGGAATGAAATAAGATAAATCACCCACTGTGTAGATAAGACCTAGTTGTCTTTAAAGTCTCAGGCAACCTTTTGTCTGTTGTCTGAAGAATGATGTAGTTTTGTTTTCCTACAGAGACATCTAAATGGAACAGATACATGTATCTCTCTGGAAGACCTATTTCAGCTTCTTTCATCACAGCCTGAATATTCTCTGGAGGTAATTTGTGATCTTGACTTTTGTCCTTACAGAATTATAATCTACAATGACCTTTATGCAAATACAACTTGCTTGCTTGGATGACACCCATAATGCAGCATTTAGTATCAAGGGAGTTACTAAGCATACAGGCTTTTCTGCGTTTGAAACAGGGCCTTGCTGTGCAGTTCAGGTTGGCCTTAAACCTGCAGCAGTCCTCTTGCCTCAACCTCCAGTGTTGGGATTACAGGCATGCTGCAACCACAGCTGGTGCTTGATAAAACTTATCTTTGGAGAATTAACCAAATATGTACATTCCTCCTTACAAATACCACTCACATGGAAGCAAAGTGGTAAACATTTCACAAACGAAAACAATTTTTCTGATAGCATTTGTCATAGTTTATGATGCTTAAAAACAACCTCCCCACAAACTGCTTCACTAGATTATTCCTGATCTGCAATGTGGAGAATTCAGATTTGGGCTTAAATCAGATTGTATTGCCTATACTTTAGGGAATTACTCATAGCACATCCCTGTTAGTATAGAGGAACTGACAAGTATATTAAGTAGTAAACTGTTTTATATATTTAAAGTGCCTTTTTTTTTTTTTTTTTCCATTCTTTTTCAGGGCATTTCATTGGAAGATACTTCACCTTTTCCAGGTAGTATCAGTGAGGGTATGAATTCTTCAACACATAATATAAACTTCAGCCAGGCCGTAAGTCATGATGTAAATCTTCATGAAGCCATGTTGCTGTGTCCCAACAACACATTTAGAAGAGACCCAATAGCAAGGACTTTACAGGCACAAGAACCATTTCTGCAGTCAAATTCTCAAGCCCTTCCTGGTACTAATTTAACAGGATTTCATCCACCTGCTGACAATCACATGAGGAATCTAACAAGCCAACATCTTTTGTATGGCCTTGATGCAAACATATTTGATGAGATAAACTTAATGTCACTGGCCGTGGAAGGTGGTTTTGATCCAATGGAAGTTTCTCAACTTTTTGAAGAACCAGGTTCTGACTATGGACTTCCATTAAATTTGAGTCACAGCAACACATCCATCACCAAATGTAATTCTTCTTATTCTACGTGTAATGAAGGTGCTATAGGTTATACCAGTGACCTTAAAAATCTTTCCCAACATCATTTACAAGGGGCTGTTGGTGGTTATTGCCCACAACCCAGTAAACTCTGTCACATGGATCATAGATATGAATCTAGTTTTCAAGATCTCCTATTCCAACATGTATGTCATAACCACACTTACCATTTACAGCCACCTATACCAGAACCCACTTCTCAATCTTTTTCAAGGCCTGGGAAATCACAGAACATGAACAGGTACTTCAGTGACACAGACAGAAACTTGAGCCGTGATGAATGGCGTGCTAAAGCTCTGCATATCCCTTTTTCTGTTGAAGAAATTGTCCGCATGCCTGTTGATTCTTTCAACAGCATGTTAAGTAGGCACTACCTGACAGACTTACAAGTCTCATTGATGCGCGACATCAGACGAAGAGGGAAAAATAAAGTTGCTGCTCAAAACTGTCGTAGACGCAAATTAAACATAATTTTGAATTTAGAAGATGATGTATGCAACTTGCAAGCAAGAAAGGAAACCCTTAAGAGAGAGCAAGCCCAATGCAACAAAGCAATTAATACAATGAAACAGAAATTGCATAACCTCTACCGTGATGTTTTTAGTAAGTTAAGAGATGACCAAGGTAGGCCTGTTAATCCAAACCAGTATATACTTCAGTGCAGCCATGATGGAACTGTTTTGATTATACCGAAAGAAGTGGTAACTGCAGGCCAAAAAAAGGAAACACAAAAGGTAAAGAGGAAAAATAGAAGTTGAAGCTGCTCCTATCAGCACCTATGGATATAATGTTCAGAAACTTGGGTTATGAACCATTCAAATTGACTTGGGAATCTTACTGCTACTTGAGTAATTTATCTCAATAAATGTGTAAGAGTGAAAGTTCACAATTCTGGAAAGTTGAAGGGGAAGCCACAATTTTTCACAAAAATCTTCCTGTTATGTAAGATTCATTGTAGTATGCTGTTTCTATGGCAGCAGCCCCTAACACAGTGGCTGCTCCAAAAAGCAAAACATTGGGGATGTTTACGATGTTTGTATTTATTAAAATGCAATGTCACCACTCAGTACTACAGTGAAGGCATTTTGAGTATTTAACTTCAAACGTTTAAAAATTTTATCCTTGACTCATTAAACAGAACAAGCCATAGTGTTAGTGGTTATTCAGCAGTAACATGTATACCCCCAAATTAAGTTCACCTTGTAAGGATAACCTCCATCCTGAATTTTCATTCCTTGCCACGTTAAACCAACAGTAAGAGAGAAGCTAACATTTTGTAATCCAAGAACTACTGAACCGTGATAGGCATTTTATTGATAAGCCAAGTAATCCCAGAAATAATGGCTGAAAAAATTGAGTCTTCCCTGAAGTTGTTTTTACCCAGGTTTGGATTTTACTGTGTGCGCGCGCATGCCATCAGTGTGATGTCCAGAATCAAGGTTGATTGTTAAGAATCACAATATGAAATACCATGCGTTGTGAAAAGGCCCTACCTTGGGTTACAGAAACGTACTTTTTATTCATCCTGTTTTCAAACTCTAGATTTGCCCAGTGAAGTTTTAAATACAAATACCACCAAAGTCTAGTTTTGTTCAGTGATGAGCTGTTCAGCCCATGACCAGTTAAAGTACCTCACACCCTCAAAACCTGTGTTACTACTGCTACTGGCAAGTCTATTGAGACTTGATAAAAGCACTTGTTCTTTTGATGACTCTTCTCAGAATATCATCAAAACTACATGCAACATAAAATCCAAGTATTGATGGTAACTGGCTTCAAAACGCCTTGTGCCTGATTGCTGATCAGTCAAGTTTCACATTGTCACCATAAATGAGTCATACCTGAGCACCTTGGATTCAGTGCCTATGAACGAATCACAATCCTGTCAGCAAACAAAAGTACGAAGGTCTACTAGGTAAGATCCTCCCTGCCTGGTTCACTGAAAACCTCCAGGAAATTAGAATAAGCACATTTTCATCCATGTCCCTTGTTTGCCGTTCACACAGGGCTTCTTGAGTGCATTTTTCCTAACACATAGCCAACTGAATTATGAACTTACCCTCCATGCCAGCTTAGTGCTTTTATATTAAAATTGTAGTGTCACAAAATGATTGGCAAGTGGAGTCAGAGTGAAACATAGCAGCAGCACTTTACACAGCAACCTTGCTTTTCCCTGTTAGAATACCCATTTCCTCTCAATACTTAACAGGTCAAAGTCACTACCAAGTGTAGTGTAAGTCTCTCTTCCACTTAGTACTGATCTCTAGAACATAAGGAGTCAACTCCACCCCTCACCAGGATTCACTCCACTTACCTTGCCTGGCTTTACCCCACCTAAAAACTGCAGCCTAAACACATAGTGAAGGTATGCTCATAACAGCCACTTGGATGAGTTCATAACGTTTGTGTGGGACATGAAGGGCAGTGTATGTGGTTCAGCTGTCCTAACACTATTTTCTTGAAGACCTGATCCACCCAGCAGCGATATAAAACTTATATACAGGGGAAATGATTGTTTCACACATTTGTGAGAGCTTTCACTGTTAATGGCTGCATTCAAAACACTCAAATATTCAAAGATAGTTCCCAACGTTTGCACTCTTAAAATACATCAGATGAGTTGGACATTACCACATGGTGATGTTGGATCACATAACTCAAATGGAAGACAAGTGCTAACTTTCACACTTAGATATAAGTTATCCTGTTTTTTATGCTGATTTGAGCTTTAAAACCACACAGCTATGATGCCTCTAGTGAATGTTCACAGATGCAAAAAGCAAGTTTACTACTGCTTGTAGATTAAGTATTAGTAATATTAAACCTCAAAAAAGGTACCACACCACCCTATACAAGCCATCCACATCCTAGGACAGTGTCTTATGTTACTGTGTTCACTATCTTACACATCAATATGCCAGTTATTTCACTGTCAACTTATTTGCAATATTCCCATGACTTCAGACTATTTTGCACCTGTATTAGACCTCCTTGATTTTGCTTAAAATTAAATGTCTCTGTAGAGGAATACATTTTTTTTAGTTCTACAGAATCTTTCATGTAAAATTGGAAGACAATTCTGATGTGTAGTTGATGACAGATGTACCTATTTCAAATGCACATTTAAAAGACTTAATAGTACAGTTATGTGACTTACCTGAAATACCTTTTCTAAAACCAAAAGAAATTAAAGTCAACTTTGTTTAGTCTTATGTGTTAACATCTAAAGGCAGTCCCCATTAGTCAGTGTGACCCAAAAGCTCTATACCAATAACCACCAATGTTTACATGTAAAGTGTAAATTGTAACAGAACTGACTGGCATCTGAAATTATCTGATTTTGTCCTCTCAGTGTTTTGCACAAGCCAGCTTATCGACCCCTAGCTGGTTAAAATCCATCAATTCAAAAAGCCACCACCAATGTCAAAGATAAGGCAAACTAGCAGTATTCAAACGCTGAATATACAGTGCATAAATAACAGCATTTTATTAAGGACAGTAAGTAATGTCCACAATGCTTTTCTCATTTGACTATTAATATTAAAAATAGTGAAGTACGCATAAGCTTTGAGAAAACTGCTTTAAAATTTTAGGGGATGGCAATCTTGTAGACAGTTGAATGTTAATAGAACAAGTTCCACACATTTTATGTGTAAGCATTACACCAAGTATTTGCATATAAAAGTATTTATTTTATAAATTTTATATTTAAAATAGAAATTTAATCTGTCTATTCACAAAACCTAATTTAAAACATGATACATTTATCTCTAGCTGATGTTACTTCTTTACACACACTCATTTTTTGTTATCAAGAACCTGTACTAAAATCAAGTTTTTGTTTTAAACATTTCCCTTTAATCTTAAAAGAGTGCTTCTTAAATGAAGGCACCAACAAGAACTACTTTCAGATGGTACAGAATTTCTTATTTCTTGAAGACTCTGTGGTTGACCACTTCTTCATTAGTTACCTGCAGCAAGACACCTTCCTGCCAAAGGAAAAAAAAAGTATCTGAAGAAGTTTATCATGTTTGTCCAAAGAACCTAAATAACTTCAGTGGTGGCCTTAGGATCAAAAAGACTCCCTGCTGCATACAGAATAAGCCCTGAATATACCAATTCTGAAAAGGCAATAAAGCCAGGAAATCTGAGAGTAGTATTAAGAAATGAATTTCAGCAGTCAACCTGCAACTCTGTTTACAGTTAAGACACTGGGCAATAATTAGCACATTTTAACCTGGCCATTTTGTAATGGATAAGCACAAGATTTATAATGTAGGAACTTTACTTGAAAATATAAACTATTTTCTGAAAATAGATCCAACCATTTCACCCTACCTTCTGTGAGCCTGATCCTGACTAAGTATGTAAAGCTTGCATCAAAGTAATAGAACAAAATGTCCATTTTAATAAAAACCCTAGTTCACTCAAAATGCTTGACCCAAGAAATGAATACACAAGGGTGTAATGACAGGAAATCTGATTTATTCAACTTTCAGCCTAACTTTTACCTACCATTTTACTACCAACACCACTGAAGGAACCAAGAAAAGCTTTATTAATGATCACTTGGCTTGCCTCAGCTGTTGAAATGAAGCACTTTACAGTCTTTGTGGCAGCAGAATATACTTGTCCATGGTTCATATCAATGCTAAAATTCCAGCAGGGAAAAAAATGATATGTTAAGCACCTGAATCTTCATGGAGAGCAAAGGGGTGGGAAAGAAGGAAAAAAAAAAGGGAAAAACAACCAAAATAATTTTAAGTAAATGACAGATTTGGAAAACAGGGTTTATTAAAAAATATTCTCTTGAGTTTATAAATTGTTAAACTCAAATTTGTAGCTATGTTAAACTAGATAAGAACCACTATACTGAAAGACCATTGAAGAGTTATTAGTTTAATCTTTTAGGGAGGAAAATTAAGAAAGAAAAAGTAAATAAGATCTTACCTAAAGAAGTTTAACTGAAGCTTAGAACTACTTTGCTCTACACCCTCAGCTTTCGTTGTCATCCTTATAAACTACTGTAGTTAAAGCTTTGTAGAAACAGCACAGTTTTTTAAGACTGGCTGAACTTAGTAGCCGTCAAGAGTTTTCTTGTACTAGACCTGTGTCCCTGAAGAGTACCTCGCTGGGGTTATTTCCTTTACTTGCATTGAAGAAGCAGCATCTAAAAGATCTAAAAAGGTGTTTCTCCTTGCAGAGATATCCCTTAAGTTATCTAGATAATTTAACCCTGATGAATTGCAGACAACACACTTATATCTGACCAGCATTTAATCTTACACAAATGTAACAACAGCTTTGCAATGGACCTTAATTATACTACCCACTCCTTAACTTATTTAAAATAAAAAGTCTATAATTACACAATTTCCTTTAGAATTATTTTATTAAATCATAAATGTACAACAGCTTCTTAACTCTACACACGCACTTAAATTTTTTAAAGGAAAAACGTTATGTCTTATTACACCATGATCCTGGCTAATAGCTTTTCAAAACTTTGAGAAAAATCTTAAAAAAGGTTTCACATGTCACCTGAAACTTACAAATTTAACATTATCAAAGAAGGAATGCTTCTACACTCTTACAAAGACCACTAGAAAGAAACAACAATTAAAAAGCTAAGAAACTGTCTCAAAGGCATTTTTACAATCCTTCCTCCACAGTAAGGTAATGTTATTAAATAATCCAATCCATTCACAAAATGGCTCTCTGCATCTGCTCTGGTGTCTTCTGCCATATCACTGCATATTTATGCATGACTGAGATAAGAGTTTCCTTAACATTGTTATTTCGATAACCTGAAGCTGTTCTGTTACCTCTGGGCTCTCATCCTCTCCTATTTATACAGTGAAGCCTGTTTCAACAGAAGTAAAGAGTAAAAAAAAAATAGGTTATGAAATTATCCATCTAACCAGATTTTAAGGAAAGATAACATGATCCTAAAAAGCTTTACTCCTGCAGCTAGGACTCCCAAGACAATAATAATTGTAAAATTCAAAAACTACTTACCCATGGCAAATAGGAAGAAGCTCAGTATCGGCTCCTTCCACCATAACCCCCACTTCCTCCACTGCCTCCTGGACCATAATTTCCTAGAATGGTGGGGAAAGCAAAAAAGCCAACTTATTTCAGTTCCCATGATCAGAATGAGTTACCCTTTTTTTTTTCTTTTTTTTTTTGGTTTTTCTCCGGTACCAGGAACTGAACTCACGACCTTGTGCTTGCCAGGCAGGCGCTTCTGCCGCTGAGCTAAATCCCCAGCCCCAGAATATGAGTTACTTTCATTTTGTAGCCATCCAGTCCTCAGTAGACCACAATCTCTTACATGCTACTAACTCACTTACTTGGTCAAACATCCAAGTATTTTGTTTTGTTTTGTTTTTTGGGAGGGTGGTACCAGGAATTGAACTCAGGACCTTGCACTTGCCTGGCAGGCACTGTGCCGCTGAGCTAGCTCCCAGCCCCAGTTTTATCCTTTCAAAAAGCCTTCTACCACCCCCCTTCACTTTTAATAAGGCTCTTAAAAATGTAGCAAGCACAAGAGACTTACATAGTCTTGCTAAAAACATTCTCAACAAGCTAAACAATAGTTTCAATAAGCATTTGGAATTATTTAACTTTCAAGAGGCTCATCACGTATTTATACCATTTGCAATGTGCTCGAGTAATTTAGCTATCTAAACTGAGCGTGATTGTACATGACTGCAATCCCAGGGCTCAGGAGGCTGAGGCACGAGATCTCCTTAAACTGAGGCCAAGTCTTGGCTACACAATTCAAAATTAGCCACCAACTATATAGAGAGACCCTGCCTTTCTCAAAAAAAAAGAAAAAAAAAAAGTCTTGGCTACACAATTCAAAATTAGCCACCAACTATATAGAGAGACCCTGCCTTTCTCAAAAAAAAAAAAAAAAAAAAAAAAAAAAAAAAAAAAAAGAAACTTATTACTTAATAAAACTCCCACATAATACTACTCTACCTTTTCTCACCCCAGAACATTTTCTACCATAAGAACATTTCACTTCCATTACTGCAATCCCTATTTGTCCTTTAAAATACTACTGCAAAATTTACCTCACATTTACATGGGATCATTAGCCCAATGCAAACACTTGGAATGTTAATTTCCCCTTGAAATCATAAAAGACAGGTCATACAATCACACAAAAATCTTAATCTAAACTTTTAGTTCTAACTTACCTCCACCATATGGTCCCCCCATGTTCCTGCTACCACCAAAGTTTCCACTTTTCATTGGACCATAGTTAGAAGGTTGCTGGTTATAATTTCCAAAATCATTGTAATTTCCACTTCCGTAATTCCCTATAAAAACATAAAAAATATGAGTGTCAGCATAACAGACCTTAAGATCACAACAAAACCAATGATGCATGCCAAATATTTAAGACAAAGCTCCCATAAAAATCAAATCAGAATCCAAAGCACCTGTGTAGTTCCCACACTATCTAAAAGCATCTACTGCAAACAACAGTAAAACCATGCAAAAAAACCTGTTAACAATCATGAATTTCAATCCAAATTCCCACAGAAATGCTACAGGCAGGTGCCAGGAATGTAGATCAATGGCAAAGGCCTTGCCTATTTGCAAGAGGCCTTTAGTTTGACCCCCAGTGCCAAAGATGTGTGGGAGGGTGGCATATCAATTCATTACCTCCTCCATAGTTGTCATAACCACCTCCGTAGCCCCCACCCTGGTTTCCATATCCAGGTCCTCCACCACCGTATCCTCCTCTTCCTCCTCCATAACCAGGGCTACCTCCAAAATTGCCACCTATATAGGGTAAGCATTTAATTAATATTTTCAATGCCATCTGAACTATATTATCAGACCTATTTCAAGTTTCTCAAAACATATACTTCTAGATTGACCTTAAGTGCAGAATACCTACAATAAAGGTAAAGCATTTGGTTTTAGAGTAGACAGAAGTCACTATAGCTCTCACCTATAACTAAAGACATTAAAGGCTAACTACTGGCATGACTTACTCAAAGAAGGATCACACTCCCCCTACTGGTACAATAGCTGTAAGTCAGAAAAAATCTAAGTTACCAGTACATGTTCCCTTATGAACTACTGTCTTTCTCATACTACATACTCATTACCCTACCCTGGGCAGGAAACCTAGATAATCAAAAGTAAGTAAGGTTTCATATTAACTCAAAACATCTTAAAAGCTAGTACAGTAAGCCTCAAATTACTTCTAGTAACTCCACTTTGGCCAAATGAAATTTCTAAGGTTGCCAGTTAACAGTAGCAAAAGCACATCTATAACCCATCTTCAAAATTTTAAATGTCCTTTTAAAATCAGAACTCCTGGACTAAAAGAATACAACTGTTTGTATACGTATTCCCTTTCAATACTGATCTTAGTCAAATTTACTATTCTATACTTAGTAGAAACTCAAAGAGTATATAAAATCTCACATGCAGGCCATGTTCTTTTACTCCAGAAATGTGATCACACAACAGTGCCCGTAAACTTTCACTATTGGCCCAGCTATGTAATTTTGCACTAGGTATTATCAACACCTAAAGCACGTTATAGCATACATATTTACGACATGTTATAACACAGCTAAGCCGCAATTTTTAAGAACCTAGGAAATGACCTGTATCACTCCAAGGGTAAATGTGATTAAATCTTAAGTCACACAAACCAAAATATAGAAAAAAACTGACCTCCAGGTCCTCCTCCATACCCATTATAGCCATCCCCAAATCCACGTCCACTTCCATATCCATCTGTTAGGGAACAAAAAAATAAAGATTATTATACCCTGTTCTACTTATTCTAAATACTCATTTACCCAACACTATTAGTGCCTCAGAATGAGAACAACCCAGAACCTTAGCATAGAACACTTGCCTTACTTACTGGTCTAAACATACACAAAAACACAAAAGTGCCTAATTCTTTATATTAATGGTAACTTTAGGGTTTGAATTCAGCCAGCAATTCTTCGGTAGAAAGGTTCATTTATCCGTAGAAAAACACCGAATGGGTCTTTAGGCACACCTCATTTGACATTAGTTAAGCCATACATACATTTAAAGTCTTTACTAAAAATTGCAACCCAATTAAGACACTTGTTTGCTCACTAAATGCTTCTGTGAGTCATTATTCAGGAACACTTACATGAAAGGCTGCTACAGTGTCATTTTTTAACGACTTATAAAAGACCATAAATGAACCTAAGAGCTACTGTCTGAGGCCTCAGTTATAAATGTGTTTAATTCTATTACCACTTCACAGGTGCCATTTCGAGTGCACCAGAATACAACTCAGACACTTAAGGGTCTATTTCCTGACTAGTCAAAAACTAATTTTAAATCCAGCACATTATCACACTTCAAACACTTTAATCAAACTTGAACTTACCAGAGCCTCCTCTAAAGTTACTTCCTGGTCCTGGTCCAAAATTCCCACCGCCACCACGTGAATCCCCAAAACCAAAGTTCCCTACAATAAATGCTATTATTAGTAAGAAGCACTTAAAACAAGTTAAGAAAAAGTGGAATGAAGTATACTAACCTCCTCTTCCACTTCTAGAACTTTGGACTTCCTGCATTTCTTGTCTAGACAAAGCCTTTCTTACTTCTGCATTATGACCATTAATGGTGTGGTATTTTTGCACTGAAATAAAAAATTCAGAGTCTACTAAATGCATACACTAGTAGTGAGACACTTTACATAATAAAATCAGATATTAACATCCCCCAAATTTAATATACGCAAGGGCTGCAAACCTAACACCTACAGACACTTACACACAATTTTATCCACAGGATCATGGTCATCAAAAGTAACAAAGCCAAAGCCTCTTTTTTTCCCAGACTGCCTATCGGTAATTATTTCAATGGTATCAATTTTTCCATATTCTTCAAAGTAATCTCTAAGGTGATGCTCCTCAGTATCCTCTTTAATTCCACCAACGAACAGTTTCTTCACAGTCACGTGAGCTCCTGGTTTGCCAGACTCCTACAAAAATGGGAAACAGTTAACCCAAGAAAGGGGGAAAAGAAAATCAAAAGCTAACTGCAAACACCACCTTTTAATTTCATCAGGCTTATATCTCTGACAAAGTAAAGCATTAGCCGTAGTCTATTGTTGAAAAACGAAAAATGACCAGAAACCCAATAAACTGCACTAGCTAGTACCTGTTTTAAAAAGTTACATGCTGATGACGATGTTCTTCATGTTTATGGCGTTTAGTTTGTTTTACTTACCTCTCTTGCTACAGCACGTTTTGGTTCAACTACTCTCCCATCAATTGAATGAGGTCTTGCAGCCATGGCAGCATCAACCTCAGCCATGGATGAGAAAGTTACAAAACCAAATCCTCTCGATCTTTTGCTTGCAGGATCCCTCATAACCTTCAAAACCAAAGAGCAATCTTTAGCATTTAATTTCATTATTGTGTTAGACACTATCAAGAACTAAAATAGTTTTTAAATATGCTAAATTGTTCTCTGAATGATTCACTTTAGTTATGGGGCTAGTATCTGCAGCCTTCCATTATTAACGTACCACACAGTCTGTCAGTTTTCCCCATTGCTCGTAGTAGTTCCTCAAACTTTCTTCTGTGGTTTCAAAACTTAAGCCACCAATAAAGAGCTTACGAAACTGTTCCTTTTCTCTCTGCAAAGGAAAATACCATTTCAATTTTTATTTACATTTTCTCTTTGTATGCAGGAAATTAAATTCTTAAATATGAGGTGACCTGCTGGCAGAGTACCTTTTTCCTCTCCAAAGGAACAGTTTCTAAAGTTTTCTGGGGGGGAAAAAAGAAACTTACATCAAATTTAAACCATATGTTAAACTGCATATTAGTTGTGTTACACCAAAAAAACTCTCAGCTGAACTACACAAGTTTCAAAGTCACTAATGCTTGATCTAAATTTACTTCACATTAAATAATCTTAAGCAAATTTAATATCACATATTATAAAACGTTCTAGGAGAAACACTGATTCGATGGCCACTGCAGAGCTATTATTAGGATTCTTACCAAAAGTACTCAAATTTACATTCTAAAAACACATCTTTACTCAATTTATTAATTTTTCAATACAAAAAACAACTCCTGCTTGCTACCTTATGCAAAGTTTTACCATTTACTTCATTCTTTGATAGCTGAAATACTTTCTCCTTAATTGCCCCCTCTAGTGGCAGTTCTAAGTAGCTCAACACCCCCCAAAGAAAAAAACGAAGTGTTTCTCCACATAACAAGTTTCAATTAGAAAATTATGAACATTTAACATATGCATAAAATAACCTTGAAGTAAACCTTATAACCTAAACAAGTTAAACTTTCATAACCAGCAATATCTAAAGCTTAAATATCTGAAGCCTGAAAAGTTTACTACACCTATTTTTGTGGGGCAAACATTCCTGTACTCTGTTTATGCAATTATACAATCTTAGCTAACAATCACATGTACAGTAAAATACAATTATCTAGGTACAATAATTCACATTTTAAAGCCATAAAGTTTCATACTATAACAATATCAACGTTTCCTCAAATTCATTAAACCAGACCAAGCTTACTGAACATATTGGAAAAAAAAAAAAAAAAAATCACAAAACATAAAACCAGTGTCTTAACTTCTGCAAGTCGAAAATATCTGGATAGATACTTTAGTTATCTGCAAAGCAGCAAGCAAAAACGTTTTACATTTAACCCCCCTTTTTTTCTTTTGGCAGTTAAGAATGGGTCATTAAACTTGGCTTACAGATTACAGATAACTAGGCTAACAAGTCACAAGTCATACCCAGACCAACTGCCTTGGATGTATGTGTACGTTTCATTAAAAAATTTTGCTTCTAACAAGCAGCATCACTGCTCTCAATGCAATTCTGTGGAGGTTCTTTATTTATAGTCTCCCAAACGCTCACAAGTCAAATAATTAAAAGTCAATTAGGGCTTTTTGACTGTACAGTCAAATGTCCCATATTCTGAAAATGTTTTAAATTTCCTGAAATTTTCAAATTAGTTTCTTTGGGAGAAATACTTTTAAAAAAAAAAGGCTTTTTGCCAAGAGTAATACTTTGAATTTTTAGTTAACTATTCTAATTGTTCAGTAAGTAGGACTCACTACAAATATAAAGTATATCTACAATTCTTACAAGTCTCTAACAAAAAGCAAAAACTCTTACTTACCTCATAGTTTTTTCCAAACTTACCCGCTGTCCACTATCGATTATAAAAAAAGTTATTTTATAAATGTGCTCAGGGTCAAAGAAAGCAACCAAGTAGACCCCCTTCGCTTAAAAACCACATTATGCTTACCAACGTAATCAACCAAAATCGCAAAGAAATGAGAACAAGTGACAAAGTTCAAAAACGCAGTAGCTCAAGCCTAAATCGCTTCGTACAAATACACACATTGAGTCAAGGAGCGAGCCGTATTTTTACGAAAGTACGACAAATTATTTTTATGTCACTAATTTCTGACTTGTAAGGATCTGTAGCTTTAAACTTCCCAGTAAAAATACTATTTAAAAACGAAAAACTTCCACAATTCAACCAGAACCCTTGAGGACAGTAAGCTCCTAAAACGAATCGCCTCCCCCCAGAATAATCTCGCTCACCGCCACGCTCGGTAGTAATCTGAGGACTCCATTTTTTTTTACGAGTTTCCTACAATTCACCTGCTTTCTTAATCACTGCAGACCCAAATAAAACCGCTTCTCAAGCCATCAAAGACTGGAAAGCATAAAAAGCTTCCTTTGTAATACGCTCGCCTTAAGAGCGGCCCAAAGCCCTAGGCTGCGATACCTTCTCTTAGCCGCCGCCAAGAAGCCCTGCAGAGCCGCCCTCCCCCCGCCCGCTCTTCTGTGTGGCTTCTGTACGCAATGGCGCCATTTCATCGAGGGGAAGGCAGAGCCTGCAACGAGGTGCGCAGGACGCCAAAGATCCAAGCTCACAAAACACTCCAAATCCACCTCGAAACGACATGAAAACAGCCCGAGAAGAAAGAAAAATAGTTAACCACTTCTATACTTCCACGAGGAAATTAAACTAGCAGAACTGAGCGAGTTAACAAAAAAACGCCGTGAAGGAGGAGAGACAGGAAAATGGCGGCCGCCAAATCCGGTTCCCGGGAGAGGGGGAGGGGAGGCTCCGCAGAGCAGCTCGCGAGGACCCGCTGCCCGCCGCGACGCCCCGACGCCCCGACGCCCGGGCCCCCGAAGCCGCGTGCCTTTTGGGGGAGTGAGACTGCCCGCTCCCGCGCCCCGCTTTCACTACAGGGGCCGCGGCCGCCAGGAGAGGTTTCCCATCCCCCACCCCAGTAAAGGGAAATGGCGCCGGGAGGCTGAGGGTGGGGAAAGCGTTTACACAATCAAGCCTCCGCTACCGACCCCTCACGAAAACACCTCAACAACAACCGCCACGGGGGCGGCCCGGGGTCTCCGGCCGCTCTCCAGCGGAGGCGGCTGGCCGACTTCACTGCGGCGCCAACGGCCTCGCCATGCCCTTTCCAATAACTCATTGATTTCAAACCCGTTACCTCCATCGCGGACTCAGTCGCTTCAGCCCGATTTCCCGCAGCCGAGCGAGATGAGAGAGATCTCCGCGGACGAACACGAACCGGACTCGTCCTGGCGCTGTAGTGAGAACTGCCGCTGCTCGAGAAACACCGCTAACTGCACGTCCACACGACACACGGCGCTGCCGCTACTGCCGCTAGAGCCGCTGCCGCCGCTTTTCTAGAACCTTCCCCCCACTAACGCGTATTCTCTTACGTCAGTGCGTAACGTAAACGCCCTAATCCCCTCGAAGGGCGGGAGGGTTTACGCCCTCTTTACGCCGAGTACGCGCTCCTCCCTCTTTTGCAGCGATAATGCTTTGCGTCATTTGCGCAAATGTGCTCGGTGAATCGCAGAAGGCTCGAGTCCTGTGTATTGCTCCTACCAGAATTGCGTCCAGCCCCCTCCTTAGCGCAGGGCAGGTGAGAAACGGTCGCGCAGTTTGAAATTAACGCCGGTGGGTGGAGCTTAAACCGCAGCTCTGTGGTCCGGCCCCCTCCATCCAGGAGGTCGTCTGCGCATTACCGCTTTGATAATCCCATCCCCCGTGCTTCTCCCGCTTTAGAACAATCCCATCCCCCGTAGCTCTCCCCTTCCTTTGCCCTCCCCCAACATAGAACTGACTCGGCCCCTTCCGGAAACACCCGAAGCCATTTCTAGTCCACAAATTCCTGTTGCATCCACCGAGTCCCTGCCGAAGGCCCGGGGTTTACCCCCCCGTATTGGGGGGGCCTCCCCGAGGGTGGTCCTGGGGCGGGCTCTCGCTCCGAGCTCCCCGCCCTCTCTGCGTCGGGCGCCCACGCCGAGAGGCGACGAAGGGGCGGAGTCTGGTTTTGGCGCCAGCAGCTGTGGACGCTGAAGAACCTCCGCCGACAGGACCCAGGTCACGGTCCTCGCCCCGCTCCCCCTCCTTCCCGCCTTCCCTCTGGGGACCCTCGGGCGCCGTCCCCGCGCGCGGACGGTAAGAGCCGCGGCCGCCCCGCCCCCG